GGTGAGTTATCCTCGCCGTGCGTCCACTTACAGTTCAAAGTGTCCTGAAGCGGGTCGGGCCTATATTGTTGAGGTCACGGACATAAGGCATCCTGAGAAATTGCAGGCGGCAGTGGATATTTTCTACGAGAATTCCATAAATATGACGCACCTACCCAAGATGCGTAAAAACCTTTGGGATGTCGGCCGTGCCTTCTAGGTTGTTTTCATTCTGGGCGCATTTCGGAATTTACATTCCGCACCTCCACTTCTCACAAGTGCACGAGCCGATCCACATCCCGGCGTTGTACTCCGACCATTCACGCTCCCTGTCAAGTATCCCTGGTAGCCTTCTGAGTTCCTCCGCTCTCCGCCTTGCCTCCTCCTGTGCATTCCGCGGGCTGGTGCTCCAATGTATCGACGTGCCTTGTGCATGCGGTCGGACGCCGACGCGCCTCCTCAACCTGCTCGCCCCGCCCGCAGGCGCTTCCCCTTGGCAGTGCGCGCCTTCTCCCACAGACTTGTCCCTCCTTGTCACGAGTATAGATCTCCTTGATGCGTAGCGCGAACATTAATATACCCAGTGTTGGCCTTTCGGTATGATGAAGGTGGAGCCGGAGAAGGAGCAGTGGCAGATGATTGCTAGGGACCGGTACGCTCGCGGACTTGACAATGCCCGGTGCATAGCTAGCTCGCGACGTTAGTTCCCTGATTAAGTATATTTTACTTGTCTTGTCCCAGTTAGTATGACATCGCGCAAGCTAAGTTTGATGCGTGCACTGGCACATTTAACCCAATAATTAAGAACCTCCGATCTCGAGTGTACAATCCTCTCTGACTGAACAGCAATTTGAACACTGCTTGAATCATGGCAGTTTTTTCAAGTCCGGATAATTTTCGAAGCACATCAAGTGTCGTGACCAGTACAGGATGTCGGATCAATTTTCTCTGTTGCGTGAGTTCTTTTTGCGACGATCCTGCATCCCGTTGAATATCACGGACATGTATATTTCACACGGGACATTTGGTGTCGATCGAGTACATGCAGAATGTGTTATTGAATAAAAAGGGTGTACGTCAGTGCTAGCTCTCTGGTATGCTCGTATAATATGCCGAGCCAATGATGTCACATTGGCATGCCATGATACTGACGTCTAGTATACTGGTCATTCAAATATCATGCTTTGATGGTTTGTGGACTATAAGTTCCCAACATATGTTGTGAGCATATGAGTGAGAGTGCGTTTGTTGGTAACTTTTGATTGTAATACTCACTTACAATAAAATAAAGTACACCTGTGATAGCTTACTCAATGGTTCGTGTGTCGACTGTCCCTGTGAAATAGATTGCTAGTGCAATACATAACTGCTACCTACAGAACTACTTCGTCTGCATGGATCGTTAGGGTTCCCAATGCGGTACCAAGTGTTGTACATCTCTTATCTAGATCCACTGGCTGCGACACGCCCTTCCCGAACCCACACAGCGAGCACCTCTCTGCCACCCAGCTCCGGCCTCTCGTGCGGCGCAATCCTCAAGCAGGTCGAAGGGTCTCTAAAGTGCCTGAACATCACATACATCGACCTCCTCCAGATTCACCGTTGCCTGTAGAGGAGAGGAGATGACGCTACAACTCTACACTACATCTAATGCTCGGTTGTTGAATAGAACTCCCCTCCCCATCATGTCGTATTCCAGTGTGTATTCCAGTTCCGTGGTCACCTGCATTAAGCCAAAGGTGCGCTCGCGGTCTTCTGTACTGCATCGGAACGCCGGGCGGATGCATGTGCCTTCGCTTGACGTCTGGCTGGAGATCAGACTTCACGGCGTATGAGAAATTCATTCCTGGTACACCCGGACCACGTAGCCATAATACGAAGGCTGTAACTTGTTGACTAAGCCACTAAAATCACTTTACTTTACTCACAACAAAGCACGACACCAAGATATCAAATATCCGTCAGATTCAAGATACATGTGAGCGAGAACTCTGCCCCGTTCGTTCCTGCAGTTGCAAGTGCAGTTCACTGAGCGTCTGCTGCGCGTGAATAACCCCATACAGACTGCGTAAGGAGTTCTCACCTCCAAACAAGCACTTGAACGAGTGCGTATATCCCAGTACGCATCTAGAGCACTGTCCAATAGTGCATGTTGGAGATACGGGTCGACCTGGATTTGAAGAACCTTTCGAGTGGTTCTCTTCGCTTCCATCAGCATCATTATTACACGTACATGCGTCGCGAAGACTCACTTGAATACGGGAGAAGATTACATGATGTTGTGCCTCTTGAATATTGAGACGATGTTTGAAGTCCTTCAGCGGTGACAACTTCCCAAAGACCATTATTGCGTCGTCGTCATCGTCGCGCTGGATAAATGTATCAAGAATAGCACTGGCATCTGTTAGGATCTTCTGCCGATCACAACGCAAGGAGTTTAAACGAAAAAATAAGCGCGAGATGATGAGAGTATTTTCTGCTATTTCTCTATACTCGAGGTTCGGAGGAAGATTCGACTGTCAACATTAGTTGATGACTGACTGCAGACGTTAGAAATTCACCACGGCACACCTTGTTTATAATGGCTTCGATAATAGTCCGTTCAATGGATGACCATTTCTCCTGTAGTGCCAGTACATCGCTCAAGAGCGCTTGATGGGTACCTCTTAACGCGATAAGGTCACCTCCGGAGTCAGACACCTGAAAGAACCTTAGTGATGACCATAAACAGTACATGGCACTCTTGAAAACTTGCCTTCTCCAAGGAGAGACTAATCAATAATGCAGTTTTGTACGAAGACTGTAGACTCTCTTTCACTACTACAATACCGTTCTCGGCACCGATCCGCACTATTTTGCTCATTATTTCCTCAGGGATCCTGTGGGAATCATAGTGGTGTAGGATGTGTGAGATGTCAAGGGCAGAAAGCACTCTGAAACGGAGTGAATGATCATGCAATCAAGTATTTCATCCGGAACTTACTCGTCAGCATCGGCTTGCAGAGTCTCAACTTTATTGTTTATGCTCTTCTGGATCCATGTCTCCAGGTCTTTGGAAGCGTTAAAGTACTGGTGGAATTTGAGTTACTTCCACGGCTTACCAGGGGGATAGTTGTGGCGAATCGCTGATTGCAATTCAAATACCATGGTAGGCTATGTCGCCTTGAGAAAGGAGTGTTGTCGCCACAGCACCATTCAGTCCTGTCCGGTTTTATGTAGGGGAGAGCACAAGGTAGATAGGTGAGTGGCATAACAGTCCTTCGTTCCTTTGTTATGCGTCGGGAGACTCGGAACGAGCGGCGACATCCTTGCACAGGATATTTCTTTGTTTCAACAGAAGTGCTTCACATATGAGGGTAGAATGGAAGGCAGAGGCTCCGGCATTGTATCGAAGTCAGCAGACACAGCGTACTACCGTATAGGCTCGTTAACCAGCCTCTAATAGAAAGATAGCCTTAAGGAGTCGGTCCTCTCTAGAGAACTACGCGAATTAATACCCGGGCTTTCAGTGCCGGGGCTCTTGCCTACAGTGGAGCCTATTACAACAGCAGCCAAGGATTAATATTAATGCTTACAGTAAGGTACGATTTTCACGCTTAGTTGCCAAAATTCCTAGCTACTTGTACCTTCAACCACTGGAGCACGTGACGAGCTGCGGGTTTATTGTTTCATCATCGAAAGCTTGTTAACTCTAGTAGATAGGAAGGAGTCCTCCTCTCTGTAGAGTGTGGATCCTCGTATGAGGAGCTGCGGAGAAGTCCCCCGTGGGAACTGCGGAGATCGAACATGCCGACGGCAAAAAAAGCGCACGAAACTTGCAAGGCAAAGGCGGATGAATCGATATTCAGGACACCTCTCTGCCAGTACAGGAAATGTGGAGGTAATTACCATGCAGTACAATGCGATTTTTCCAGCATTATTAGACTACATAATGCATTCATGTGCACCGCGTCATGGTCATGTGCAAATCATGTGAGGGTCTCTGCCGTTTGGCCGATGTCAATATTCTCAATGGTTCCCACGGGGTGCCTCTCAGAGCTCATACAAGGCCAAGTGCGCCCAATATTGTTCAAGGCCCGCGCTATCAATGGCTCGTCAAAGTAAGTGTACCCTTTGACATCAAGTCTCAATTCAGTTAATCAATTGTTATCGCCTTGTCGTTTGTTAGAATTTGATAGTACTAGTGAGCGTATCTGTAGTATCGGCATCACAAACCAAGTCCTGACAACTATATATTATCAGGGATACAGTTTCCACTCACTCAAAACGCTGAATGTACTTCCCGCTCCTTGGCAGAGCCTTTCAAGTCTTTGCCCAAGTGCTGGCGTTGTGATGGAGGGCACAAGAGGCAATGCAGATTCACCGGTGCGTACATACAAAACATATACAAGATGTATATATTTAATAAAGAATATGCAGGTCACAGAGTTGCCGCTCACGATGGCTTTGTGACGTTCTCCTACGGGGATTGCGAAATTCCGGCATTTCCTCGTGTATTTAATCAGAGAATGACCGCCGAGGTTGCACAACTGAAACTAGTGTGTTTAGTACAAACCTTCTAGATGATCAGATCTAAACTAACTGGGCACATCGGTTACTCAGAAGGCTTGTGCAGAGATTTTGCTTCCACTCCTCCGAGCAGAGCAAGATCATCAGTCACAACCCGGCATCATCTACCGTCATAGGGAGCTGACGACACGCGTTACTTGCGGTACAATTTTCCCTGTTTCTCATCCCCCTTGTTTTCCGCCAACACTATATCTTACATGATGTCCCGCCTACAGATATATGTACGACCGAGTTGTTCTCACGGACGTGGCTATGTGCAACTTGCGGCCGAGAAGTGTGTACTCCTTGCCGGAGTAGCATTGAGCAGGTAACTTTCTCAACATGGGATGTACGACCAACAAGTTGAATTTGTCTATGTCAAGGTCTACTTCTGTGAGATTACCTGTAGGCCAGCCGACTTCTTTCCAACGACTCGGTTCACTCCTTTGGAGCTCACTGGCGCCATTCACACGATGGAGCACACACTGAACGATTTCCAAAAGAGTTCAGCCAATCCTGTCACTCAGGCGGTGAGATTAATGCATAATCACAGCGTCCCCGCTGTGAATATCTATGGCTGGGATACTCCCAGTCTTCCTCTTCCGAGCTTTAGCGCTGCTACTTTCGATGCGTTCTGGTCTCGGAATATCCCGGTCAAGATCACTGATGTCGATTCAAAGTTTCAAGGGGTTTGGGGACCGGAATATTTTGTTGCACAATTCGGGGATGTGAAAGTCACTCTTCAGGATTGTGAAGCGGAGATTGCGAAAACAAGTACTGTTGGTGAATTCTTTAAAACGTTCGGAAATCAACAAGTCGCTGAACGCGCGACAATCATGAAGTTAAAGGTAACGCGATGTTTTCATCTTATACAGGATCTTGTTGACCTTCTCCAGGACTGGCCACCGGAAAAGCACTTCAGCACACAATTCCCAGAGCTCTTTAAGGCGTTCATGGATGGGGTTCCCTATCCTGATCTCGCGCGACTGGATGGAGTTCTGAATCTAGCGGCTCATTTTCCGCAGAATGGGATCCCTCCCGATCTTGGTAAGCGGTTATCTTATAAGTAAGGGCTCTGCCTTCTGACAAATACTACAGGTCCGAAGATGTATAACGCACACGGCTCGAAGCACGATAACTTGCACCACGGATCTACAAAACTGCACATAGACATTACGGATGCTGTCAACGTCTTACTGTGGGCTGCAGATACCGCAGACGGTGAACTTGGTGGCGCTCTGTGGCACATCTTCCCAGCTGTCTCTGCACCTGAAATCCGGAGGTTTCTGACCCAGGTTTATGATTTTCGCGGCCCCGGGGATCCAATACATTCGCACAGTGTGTATTTCACCCCTGAGATGCTCAACAACCTTGAGGCGCAGTGCAGTATCAAGCCGTATGTGCTCTTTCAACGTCCTGGAGAAGCAGTCTTCATTCCGGCGGGTTCACCCCATCAGGTGCATGTTTCTGTGTCCATTCTACCCCTCTTCTCCTGACGATTGTATGCAGGTCAGCAATCAGACGGATGCCATCAAGATCGCATGTGACTTCATTTCCATTGCTAACTTGGCACACACACAGAACGTGGTTGACGAGCTTCGGGAGCAACGCTTGCTGAGTGGGTGGGGAGACGACGTTCTGCAATTCTATACCACTTTGTGGTATGCTTGGACGTCTGTCTCAGCACTTGTTGGAACTCTCCCGAGCTGCGAACAGTCCCACGAACACCAGAATCCTGACGTGATTGTTGAAGGCGACATTCCCCTTACTAGCCCAGCTCCGCAGCCTTGTTCCCCTCCGCATGAAGCTCTATTTTCCTATGGATGTGTCGACACATATCCTGAACAATGTCCCGATGACAATCCTCGATTATTGCACAAGGAACAACGGCGGAAGAACAGGAACAAACTGAAACACAGGGCGCAGAAAGAAGCCCATGCCTTTTCAGAACGTCCCTATAAATCAGGCCACGATTTTCCTTGTCCGTTCTCTAATTGTCTTGGAAAATTCCACCGGGCGGGACTTCTTGATCATCTGTGAGCCTTCCTGTGTGTATCGAACGCTGACATCCATGTGCTGACAGTTTCATTTCATGAAAGTCGATCGAAGCATGCGATTTACGTTAAGCTGGACAAAGGGGAAGAAGATGCTCTGCGTCGACCGAATAAAGTTCCAGATGCTAAATTTTTGGAAAGACTGGGTAACTCCTTATTGAATGATAGCATATAGGTATGGTGTATGTTAGTGTCTTGATTTGTCCCCGAATTTATGAGACCTAAAGACGGCAAATATGTGGAAGTCACAGCAAGTATTTCTCTGACCGATGGGAAAGTCTGCTAGTCAAGACCCTTTTTTGGCGCATTCTACGGGTGGGCCTGGACACAGACATTATAGTACATCATTTCTCAAAATGTGCAGGTTTATTCTGCAATGAACCCCACACTTATGTCTCAGATCGCCTGGAATTTCGCAGGTGCTTAGTGGAATAACCAGCTATAGACCATAAGTATTCCTTGGGAGTCCTGTACTTCAGCAAGTAGTCTCCTCTTTCCTTGCGCAACATTTCCGCAACTAGGTTAAGCTTGTCTGGCGGGGGGTGCATGTAATGCAGTCTGTACTCAGCGACACAAGGCGTCTGTGGATACATCCATCTTGCGTTAAGTCAATCCGTCTCCGCTTTCATCACTCGAGGCCGTTCTACAGACATGAGATGTGTATTGAGTGAAAACTACATCGCCTAGGGCACATGTGATAGAAAGCCATCCCGCCTATGTGCTGAAATGGCACGTCTTCCCGGATAAACCAACCATAAAATCAGGAGGCCGATCACCGAAAAAGTTAGCATCGCAAGCATCGCGATCTTGATATGAGAATAAGATGTATGCACATATTAATTAATGAAAGCTTGAGGATACTGCACATTGTAACTTACCAAGAAAATACGCCTTGGGTGTAGCACTTCTATTCTTCAGAGTGAGATACATATATTATAATGGCATGGAGGTGCTCACCTTGTCTATATGTTTGCCATATCTGTACACAACTTGGAGAGGCCAGAGCGATAATATGGACATCGGGATCTTCTAGATGATCATTCACCTGCTGCGTTATGTAGCACAAAAATAGGAAAGAGAAGCAAAAAGCATACGGCAATTGCGCGAATTGGATTGATGTCTAAGCCGTTGTGAGACTACTCTGTATGTGATCATAGAACCGGTACTCACCTGGTTGAATAGTTTGCATCTTGATTGCATCAATACAGTTCCACAGTCGTACTGACCCCAGATCGTGCACACCAATCAACACTGTGGCATCATGTGTGAATAATACTGTTGGGATGGCCCTCCGACATTGGTGTTTGAACGTCCTTTTTATGAGGCCGGACTCTAAGTCGTAGATCTGGAAAACAAAAGGTCGAGAGACTGCGATGTGAGTACCATCTGGTGATAGACTTGTACATCCACTGCAACGATCACACTGAATACATGTATCTGCATACATACAAGATACTTACAGAGAAGAAGATTGTGCAATCACACGGATGACACGTTCAGCTCTGGTATCCCACAACCTAGAGATATCATGTGTCTGTCAGTGTGCATGACGAAGGGACATAGTTTCTCTTGCGTACTGAATTCCATGGTGGTGGTACGATGCGACCAACTGGATTACATTCTCGGAGGTGATGCGCCAATGCATTGCAGCCAGAGAGACATCCTCTCTTGAATTTGAGCGGTTCGTCAATGGGCGACCAAGTGTTCTGCTTTGCTCCCAGTCGTCTGATCGAACCCTTGCATCAACACTGCGCTTACATTTCACACCATGAAACTCGTTGCCTCGGAGATACGTACATTTATGTCTGCCTTGCCAGATTCGTATGTCAATACCGGAGCCTGTAGCGAGATAATCTCCGCGGATACAGGCTCGGTCAATGCGGTGATTCCTGGCGCGGAAGTAGGTAGCGTCCAGGGTGTCCTGTGGAAGACGTTAGGCCACAGCGTGCAAGGCCATATCATACGCACCAAGGTAATTACAACGGTCAGAATAATTCCGCTCTGGCAACAACATATCAAGGTAGGCCAGTCAGCTTCGACCCAGATCACGGCGGTGACAGGACTACGCGTGAGCACCAGGTGATGTAGCCGCCCGTCATCGAGGTTGGAGATGAAGATCCTGCCGTCGGAACCACCCGCGGCGACGTACTTTCCAGTAGGGTCAATATCAACACACGTAACACCTTCTGAGTGCAACCCGAGTGAAGGATACTTGAGACGGTACTCCAGAAGCGGCGGCATGATCGTCTCAGTTTATTGGGGGCTCAGCTCTTTTAAGGGAGGTCGGTCACGTGCCACATAGGACAATGCATATCCAGCTGCAGGCGAATTGAGCGTCCATTCTTCTCCTTCTCTACGCAGTACTATCGCGATGCTTGCATTTGCACATCATCCACGCTACAACCCATCGCGATTCGTCGCAGAAGAGCCGTCAGAAGTATTCCCACCTCTGAAAGGGCAACCTATGACCGCCGATAGCTCATTCCGTGAGCAGACAATCATGCCGGGACGAACTACTGACTCAACGTACTTTCCAGTGAATGAATCTTCTGGAGACCTTGCGCGTGCACACGGTGAGCTCCTCTATTGAGTTGTGCTGTCGTGATCTGATTGCGTTGACATCAGAGACAGATTTCCACAGTCAGAGCAGAGGAGGAGCAAGCGACTTTTCGCTCGTTCCCTTGTCTGATGTACGTGATTGCGCACCAACGTTACTTTATTGTCTTAAAAAGATTTCAGGTGTCCCTGAAGGTTGCTACCGCGCCGGGATCACATGCCGGTGGAGCGCCCCGTCGTATCAACCATACTATACCTACGAACAGGGACTTCGGACCGACCAAATGGCGAGGCTTGTCCTGGGCATCACTTGGGAACTACACGTGGATTCTTCTCGGTTTGTCCGTCGCATATTTTTTGGGAATTATGCAGCCGGTTTACGTTGTCGAGATATCCGCGAGCAAGATAGTATGCCAAACCTTGTCTCATCTACGGTCGTCAACTGGTTTGCTACCCATTCCTGAACGCTGTCGGTCAATTGATCAGCATCTTTCCTTTGGATGCTCCTGCACTCCTCTCCAACCCGAGTCGCCATCAATTGGAGGCCGAGATTTTGCGTTACGTGCTGACGGTGCGAAGTTTATACCGGGGCTCACGACGAATAATTTTCTCGAAAAGAGCAGTGAGGCGGATATCCAGCGACGTATCCCTGACTTGGCGCCCACGGGAGAGAATCACCGGTCATTTCCAGGCGGCGAGGGCCAACTTGGTATAGTGCTTGTGGAGCCTATCCTCATCGCGCAGGTCACGATCAACCGCACGCAATTCTCTCCTGCACCTTCACTGGAATGCCTACCTCGCGACTTCATTTTGTGGGGTCTCATTGACGGAGACGATAACGTCCTTAAGTCTCGTCAAAATTCTACTCTCGTTCACAGGCTCTTCTCTCGACTCCCTCCTACGTTCAGTTTTCCGTCATCCAGTGTTACAGAATCGTTCTCGCCCCTCGTATACTCTAGGTATGACCCCCGCAACGGATTAGCCCAGAGTTTCTCCATCTTCGACGAAGTTGTCTTGCTTGAGCTCGACTTTGGCGTCGTCGTGCTCCAGATCCTTAACAATTGGGGTGGCTCGTCCACATGCTTACATAGAGTAGAGGTTCGTGGGCGTTTGCGTACAGAGGATTAAGCCATGGAGTTGTTGTATCACGGAGATATCTTGAGTCTATAGTACTAGTAGACTCATCCAAATGCTTGGTGTACTCGGAATCACTGTGCGGCGTGTGGCTGATAGACCTATAACTCTAGTGTTTCCTTTACCAGTACCCAGCCTGCAATTTCCTTCGATCCTTTATCGTCATAGCCAGCCGAATACTCCATTCAAACGCCAGAAGGCGGGACTCCGAAGAACTAAACCTTAACACGCTCGGGTCGGTCAACGTGAAGGACAGAGCACGTATGATAGGATGGCATATGAGGACAATCTTCACAGCATGCTCTTGAGATGAATCGACCGGGAATAGCTGACGGCATCTTGTCCTTGGGAGGATGTACCCGCTACCTAACTGAGGAACAGTAAAAACCTATCGTCAGTTGTGTCATTAGTGCAGTGAATAATGTCGAAAACCTCGAAGTCAGGGCGTCTGGAAGGCAACCGACGCAGTCCTATAATGACACTTTCACGAGACGTGAGCTTGACTTTAAGCAGACATAGGCTATCTCTCACCAGTGCGTCTCGAGTCGCTCTGCGAAATTTCCAAGGTCAAGTGCCCATATGGCATATTTGCAAACACTGGTTCTCCACATCCTGAGCCAGCTGCCAATGTCCTTGTAGGCGAGTTGGCGAATAATTAGTCTCGGTGAGAAGGTATGTTCAAGTCCCTCGTCAGAGCTTCCTGGCAGTCCCGATAGCAAGCCGGCGATGTGGTCCCTGCACATGTATTTATGCGTTTTCCATGCAAGCTTCTGACAATCTCTGGAACAATAACGGACACGACTAGGAACTCCGCGACATCAGAACACCAATAACATATGCGCAGAAAAAACGTACCGGCATCTCTCGCATTCCCATAAATTACCGTGTCGGCCGTAAGAACTGTAATCGTCCAAGCAATAGTAACATCTGAAGCTTAAGTCACTGTTCATACCGGGTGACTGGGGCGTACACACGGTTTGGCTGTGTGGTATCATACTGCCAGACCGACGCACTCCATTTAAGACCCTTCCAGCGCGAACAAAGGAAGCTGAGACGGATAACGGTGCCGCAGACAGACAATGGAGGCTAGGACTAGCCAGGTAGTGAAAAGAAGCAACAACGCCGCAGCATGATTTGCCTAGTATCCGGAGTACTTTGTGCCACTCGGTGATCACCAGGAACAAATGAAGCTCGCATTGGAGATGAGCCTACACACCCTTTGTTCAGTGAGTATATATTAGAGGCAACGGACCTATGTAAAATCTGGTCTCCCCACGATGTACAGCCTTTCTGTCACCTCCACGTTCGGTGCAAGAGACCTGCAATTCGCATTACGACTTCCAAACACCTCTAGAGCGTATATCTGGAAATCGGTAGAAGCGCGAATACTCCATATACTTGAGCATGAAAATCCCCAGGAGGCGGGTGGTGGGTTTCACGTGCTCCACATTTAAATTTCGCCCTAATATTTGCTTCAGCCTACTACGTATCACTAAAATTCAAAAATTGCAGACGAGCACTACCCTTCGTTGGCGTACGCATGCGACGGCATAGAGGAGGAGGAGTTTGTTTCTTGCGACGCCTGCAGCCCGAGAATCTTTTAGCAAAGCTCGATGAGGTAAGCCTGAGCATGATTCCATAAGATGATACTAACTCAGGTGGCAGTCTCGTATGGTGTTCAATTTCAAGGTCAGACTCACGCGTACACGTCGCCGACATTGCCGATGCCGCTTAATATTCGACGACCACTTCATCTTCAACATGTTTAGTGCATCACTAGCTGAAGTGGTAGTGAGCGCTCGTACTGAGATGGCTCTGGCTGACGCATTCAATTATGACGAGGGAAATGTTTTTCTGTAGTGCACAGACGTTAGAACCGCGACACAATACGAGATAGTCTACATAGCTCCAGATTATGATCCGCAAAACGGAGTGTTATCCCCAGTACGTACGGTACCCAGAGTTCGAAAAGGTTCAACGGAGGATAGATAAGGATGTACCCGATCACTTGAGTGATGTGGATTCCGACGAGGAGAGAAATCGCCGAACTCGAGGTTCTGAGTGTGGAGAAGCCCACAGGGGTAGCGAGGACCCAATATTCACAGCAGTCAGTGCTGCAACAAGCCGGGCAGAATACATCATGCTCAGCCGCCCGCGCATGGCCGGTATGCTCTCATGTCCGCCAATCTACACATCGAGAACATGGAGGCCGACAGCGCACGTTGTAGATCAAGGACTCTGCGGGGCCTGATTAGAGTGCGAGGTGTGTAATTTCCATGCGCCTGAGACTCGGGTCAGTCGAACGATGGAGAAATAGCATTCATGCGTAGGTCCATACAGCCTAGAAGGCTAACACTGGTTGTTCCTCGTCTGGGTATTGACTTCGCAGGGTTCCTGTTGGATCACGATCGCCAAATGAGCACGAGCGATGGATCTGGCGACCACAACATACCTAGCTCCTGAATAACGTGCCAATCCAAGGGTGTTCTTGTCCTGGGTGACCCATGTTCAACTTCTTCTGGAATTGGGGACATTGTCAATACTTTTGGAGTGTATGTCTTTCGCGCGGCCTGGATAGCCTGGACCGCCGCTGGAGGGCAGCCTCGGAACGTCCTCGGAGATAGACTGGCCCAAGCCCAAACTTCGTGTGGCTGCCGTTCGCGATGGAGGTGAGCCTTCTGTCTCGGGTATTAATGCGCGGTACTTTGCTAGCTATCTCATCCTGTGGGAAGTAAGGTGAATGCCGTTGGCATCGCATGTTGAGTGGCCGATCTTGTTCGATACTGTCGTATTACCTAGTCTGCTTTCGTTCGAAGGGTCCGAACCGTAGTACACGATTTCGGAGTTACATAAGCACAATGATCTCCGAAACGCGTCCCGTAGATCTGGTGTAACGCGACGCGTCGCCGGCCTGTGTCTGGCGCGACCGTCGCTTTCGTCGTGATCTAGTTGGAGTCGCAGGGGTCTGCGGGATCGGCCTACGATGTGGATGCGGACTCTGCGGGATAGACATGGGGAGTAGGGAAGCAGGGGATGGGGAGTACGGAAACAGAGGATGAGAAGGCAGACGTGGCGAAAGATGCAGCACCAAAACCAACTGTCGGGCCATAGAAGGTAGGACTTTCCGAGTGCAAACATCGGCTAAGGGTTGGACTAGGGAAATGGTAGGGAGTATTGGATGCAGACACAGACTGAGGTACTAACAAAGTAGGACTGTAGGAGGCGCGGTATACGTTGAGTCCGCGGAAGACGAGAGAATGGACAACATAGCTTGCGGTGTATCATAAGAAGGCACATCCTCAACAGAATTATCTTGAAATCGACTCGGAAACATGCCGCAAGTGCACGGTTTGCGTGGACTCGTCGACGCGAAGGGCAGCGTCGGTACTGTACATCTCACGTTGGATCTCTTTCGATCAGGAACTCACGGTCGGCACTGCGGCCCGGGCTTCGGCATCGGCTCGGCATGTTGAATTGCTGTACTACGGTTCGAGGGGCGCGTTCGAAAGCAGACCTTTATTCTGACCGTCCTCCCCACCTCAGCAAGGTCAATATTGGTTTGCCTTCGGGAGACTACGTATTACCATTAGATTGAATGCATGCTTGAGTAGCTCCCGAGGAGCCCTGCAATCATGACAGCGCGACTGTGCGCAACCGGGGCGCCTTCAGTGGATTTCCTAGACGCTTTGAAGGCGTGGCGTGCTCTGGCCAGCCTGGCCAGTGCGCGCGTCGAGCCCGTGAAGCCCAGGGCAAGCGACAGCGCATGCCGCATAAGGGTGCGCACGTGGAGGCGCGACGCGCCAATAAAACGCGTCAACAAACCTAACGCGGCGTCAACAAACCTAACGCGTCAACAAAACGCGTCAACAGCGCACAACAACATTTTTTAGCGGCCAGGCCCCTGCACAACACCCCCCTTTCCGAGCTGACCTATCGCCCCGCGCTACACATTCTGCGAATGTATCGGGTCCCGACTCCTGAAATCCCTGCGTCGAGTAGAAACTTGCGAATTAATGGTGTCGATTCTGCTTTGAATAGGTGCCAAACAGCGTGACCGGGGCGACCGGAGATTCCATCCGCCGCCCACAACATGATGTTAACCGCATCGGTGATATCTATGTGTAACTTCGTCGAGCCATGGTGGTGGCTATCTTGAGGAGAACCGTACGCATTGTACATCTTCGGACCTGAGAGGAATGAGAGCTACCCATCAGAATACTTAGATAAATAATCATACCGAGATCGCCTTGGGTCCTTTGCCTAGTAATTCTCGCTTCGGCACAGCACAAATCAGAAGTACGAACTACGTATGCATACATATATCGCAGTACGAGGAATCAAAGACGTAAGAGCGGATTCGACAGTCACACATTATTATCCTCCTCCTCCTTGATCTTGATTAGTATACGGGCGACAATGCCAGCCGCCTTAGCGACATTACTCCTATCCGCTTCGTGGACCTTCGGTAGTTGTACTTTGAATTTGTCTGGATGCCACTTCAGGATATCACCTTTGAGAACTTCCCTCCGAGTCTTGCCTGGCAGGCGCTGAGGATGAAACAAGAAGTCTCGGACGCAGTCCTCGGTGATATCCTCGGGAGCAGTGATGCCTATAAAGACTGGCCAAGGCATGTCGAAGAAACGAACGGGACCGTCGAATTTGAAGTTCGGTTGCCTCAGCGCAGACCAGCGATAGTCGTAACTTTCGAAGGCGTGTGATATGAACACTGCCTCCGCCGCCTGAGCCTCCCGGAGGGCCTCCTCTTGTCGCTGGCGAGCTGCCTCCTCCTGTCGCCGGCGTGTTGCCTCCTGCTGTCTACGCGCCTCTTCCTGCCTCCTTCTAGCCTCCTCTTCCTGCTGCAACCGCGCCTCCGCTTCCTCGCGGCACCTGCGCTCACGCTCCAGGCGTTCACGCTTCCGGAGCTCCTCTGCCTTCCGCCTGGACTCTTCACGCTCCGCTCGCCATCGCCTTCCCATCCACGCTTTATGGAGGCGGTTAAGCTCGTCAAGTCGATGAGCCTGCTCCACCTGTTCGCGTTGCATGCGCAGCTGCTCGGCATGCTGCTGCATCTGCTCTACGCGGCGTTGGTCGGCTAGGCGCTCCGCCTCGACACGACGTTCCTCCTCCTCCCAGAGCTCCTTCGCCTTCTTATCGTGCTCCTCTATCTCCTTGATGCGTTGCGGCATCTCCACTGCTGCGCGCTGGACTGCATCACGTGTGGCGTCGATGCCGGAGCGGATCACTTTCTGAACGACAAGGCGAGAGAACTGTTTGAGCAGCATGCAGTCTTCGTTGTCCAGGGGACCCTCGTCCATCACCTTCTGTGCGAGAGGGTTCGCAGCGAGCAGCGCGCTGACGTTGGCGTGCGCTTCGGCCTGGATGACTTCTAGGGGAGGGTGGCGCACGTAACCTCGCTGCAAGGGCCGCGCACGCTGCCCTCGCACGTGGACGCGTTGCGGTCCTGTCGTAGGATGAATATTTCCTGGAAGCGGATCCGCGGCGATGGGTGTCTGCTTGGGAGCTTGAGGGGTGTAATGCAAAGGGGAAGGCGCGACAGGCGGGGATGAAAACAAAGGCCTTTTCTTCGGAAGATTCAAAGGAGTGCCTGGCGAAGGCGCGGGCGATTCGTTGAAAAAGTTCTTTGGCAGAGGAGAGAACGGTCTGTCGGTCGGCGGAGAGGGAGGATCAGTGTAGGGCCTCCTGTGCGGGATAAACGCGTAATTGGATGGGCGAGTGGGAGCGTCACCGATGTTGAACTCTCCGCGCGAAGTAGATGGTGGGACATTGGAAGGAGACGCAGGGGCATCCGTAGAGGGCAGGGGATCGGTTGGAAACTCCGGCGAAGGGGCGATATGGCCTCGCTGGTGAGCGTCTTGGAAAAGGTGAGGATGCCCTTCTTCTGCTCGCTTCCTCGGCTTTGGGTAGGGACGATAGTAGTTCCATTGCTGGGGATGACCGTTATTGAACATAACGATCGGTGAGGATAGCGTAGGGCTCCTGATATAAGCGAAGCGGTTGAACGCTCCTAGACGTGAGTGCCGTGGTGGGAATCTAGACCTGGTAGGAGAAACGAGTCAGAGAGTACGCACTCCCAGAATTTATACAAGCGGCGAGCACGAAGTGACGCACGATTCACGTGAGCGCGATGCGTGAACTCCATTGTGGTAGATGTCTGGACAATGGAATCTCCCAGGATCTACCTGAATGGAGGAACTCCTTTGTGAAACATACAATGGTTCGCCGCTGCCCTCATCAAAAGCAGAACGGCATACGAATGACAACCGCGTGTGTGCCGTGCGGACTACCAGATGAGCAATCACAGAAAGTGAAGCTTTGAGAGCCTGCAGATTGCCGGAGGTGAGGAAAAATGAAGACGGAAGATCGCGGACGATATCAGATGAGCTCGAGCTCGAAGAAGACTCGGGAGTACGCTGCGTCGAAGTGGATCATACGACTGGGTCAAAAGCAGTAAGGAGTCAGGTCTATCGTCCTGAGCGGTACACCTACCTGTCCGAAGATGGCTTCCTCTCGTTAGATCACAATGCATCAGGCCGAAGCAGTGTACTCGCTCTTGCTCCCAGCCGTGTCACGGATAGAGACTCCGTAAATGCCGACGACCTTTCCACCATTGCTTCCGCATTGTCGGAGAAAGGACGGTGGGTAAAATGTGACTTCAGTGGCACCTAACACCACCCCTCCCCCCACACGGACAATTCTTTTCCAGTTCACCGAGCATGGCAGCAGAACAAGATAGCACGCAGCTGCGGGAGAACCCGTATCTGGGATGTATGATGCAGTGGTTGATATGGACGCTATGGGTGGTTGGAAGGCTGTTCGGAACTATGTCCGTAGAACGCTGCTGAAATTAGCAGACATCATCTCGGTGACAATGGCACAAACGAAACACCCCGTACCGCGCGTAGAGAACCCGCTTGAGTAAAGGATAAGCTTGGGCTTGTTCGATGACATCAATTTGGGAGCGAACGTAACGGATATGCACCTGCTGCGTTCTGCGTAGGGCATCGATGAGGGCGTTGGTTGCATTACATGAGCCCCCTTATCTTTTCTCAAAGACAAGCTTACGCACGCACCGCAAATACCAACGCTAAGGCGGAATGACGACGAAGAGAGGATGACATGCCGATTGGAACTTGTTTGGCGGCGTTTGAGGACGAATGCCGGGTTGGCAGAGTACTTCTTCGGCTTATTTGACTCTATTTGGCCTGTGGCTCACACAACTTGTAAGGGCACCATCATCTAACATCATGGCCAATGCTTCTTTCAGCCTCTCCGACACGATGCCGACCTGCGATGAAACAGTCGTCAATCGTTGATATAGCTACGTAGGATACGCAGATATTTGGGCTCGAGCGTTCAAAGTGACCTCAAGGAGTGTTGATAGCCAGAACCGTGACACTAAATACTTTGCCACTGCTCTACCGAGGGCGTGCGTGGTCGCCTCATTCTGGGCCTCGATGGTCGGAAGTGAAAATGCTTTCCTTCGGCGGAAAGCACCCCACTAGTCTGAGACTGCGACAGATAAATCGCGCTAGGGTGGTATGGCTCGGACAAGCAAGGTGAGACTATGACACATATTAGCAGAAGGTCCGGGTGAAAGCGGCGGCGGCGCGGCGTCTAGCACTCTTTGTGCTTCAATCAGCGTGTGCAAAGCTGTTCTGCCCCAGCATCGCTGGCACTTACATCTGGCTCATGCAGAAATATCAGAAGTATCATCAGCATGTTTCTATCGTCTCTGGGTGTCGGCCAACCATTCTGGAGTTAAGAGACATCCAGACAATGGATATTTCCGTGGAAGACGAGAGGTGAGTACTTCGACAAGATTCATGGCCCATATTTTCAATCTATAAATGTGCAGGTTGTCACCTATTCCAGTTGCTGGATCCAGCGTGGATAGTAACGAGGAGTATGTAGCAGACATGCTTCTTTCAATTCCGGCACGCTGATGCACTGCAGGTCCAAGGGCGGCGAAGCTCGTCGTCTACCACCGGATGAACTCGGGCGTGTAGCTAAAAACATGGAAGTGCGTATTACCTTCATGTTCTGGAGGATTATCTCACTATCTCCATGTAGCCTCGTGAGGCCGCATACGAGATACAGTTTTCCGCCGTGACTACGCAAATACGAATCATTCGCCACACCCCATTGAAATACAGGTGGTTCCATTCCACAGGTAGTCATCCGGTTAAGTTTCCACCTGAGTTTCCACCACAGGCGTCAGTAGATGCCTATGATGTGTATACTCATAGCTGGCCATCTGGTGTGGCGCCCCGTGGTATGACGCAACAAATGTGGATATGGAAGCAGCATCTACATAACTCATCTGCAGCATGGCTCCCTGTCTCTGTGGGATACTACTGCGAGACGGGTAGATTTACCGGCAGATCGTTGGTTCTTACTGATCAAGGTGTTCCTTCGTGGGTGGGGAAGCTTACTCTTCAGAGAGGATATAAGCATGTAGGAACTGGGTTAGATGACGGAGCCAATCCAGTACAGCCTGGTGATGCGAGCAAGGGGAAGTCTAAAAGTTAGTGTCTTCACGCATGAGTTATCATTTACGGATTTTATTGATTTTACAATCTCAGTGGCGTAGGGTTGTCTCTGTAAGCCTGGCATATCCTGTTTGTGTACGTTCTGTCCTCATTTCTCGTTCCAGTTTACTTTGGTAGCTACGTCTCGTGGCTCGTGCGACTGCCACACCGGGATACCTTTCGTCCTTAAGCTCGAACCTTGTACACCACTTTTCGCAAGGGCATTGACCCCTGTAGTACTTCAGTGATCGGTGACTCACCTCCGAGCATTGGGCTCTTCTCCTTACCATCCTGTGAAAAGTGATTGTTACCACCTGCTATTATTAATTTTGACTACGTTCTGTAATAATATAACCTGTCCACACTGATCTACGTGCAAACACATCTAGCTTGGTCCTGTCTGACTGTTACATAGTGTTGCCGCGAGTTGAGTTGAGTCGAGTTGAATCGGACGAACTGCCATAACTCGGTGGAGCGGGTGAGTTAAGGCTGTGAGCCAATCAGTATGATGGTCACTTCGTACAAACAATAAATCCTGCGCGCACTTTTTCTGTCACCGCGCACTTTTTGGAGTTAGGCGCCCTAGCCGGCTGTGGGAACCCTCGGCGGTAAGTCGGGAGTGCCCGGCACTCTTCCCGTCATTGTCGGTTATGTCCCGCCGCCCGCCGCACAGGCCTCCCACCTTTCTGCTCAATGTTTCGAAGGCTTTGGATGTCACGCGTAATGGTGGCCTCCCCTTAGAGGACAGTTTTCTCTCACTCTGTAGTATACCTGTATATATATTACCTTATTACTGTCATTCCAATCAGATATGTGAGAAAAATACAAGAGAATACTAATAAAATTCACCCCACTGCATGAGCACGCTGTGTGCAACGGCGTGGGAATGTGCTCATCGCGGGCGACGGCAGCGTGAGGTCGGATAGACGTCACGCGCGCGTCACACCTAATTTTTGACCTGGCCAACAATTTTATCTCGATTTTTTTCGATTTTCTGGGATTTCTCAAGATTTGTAGTACATACTTCTCGTAATTACAGATCTTGTATTGATACCTTGACTCTAACCCTGGGCTTGCGGCCAAAACCCCACAACGAGGATGCCAAAGATGGCAGCTACCGGGGCGACGGAGGCGCGAATGGAGGCTTCGCTGGCGACATCGAGCGGGAGGATGTGCAGAACACCTTTGGCAGTCTGGGGCGAGGAGAGCGCAGTCGCGCCCGCGGGGTTACGACAAGTGGCGATAACGATATTGGCGGGATCAGCGACGAGCTGGCTGACGGTCTCGAGGCCAATGCCACGCGAGGTTCTAGTCACGGAGTGAACACGACGAGCTCAGCCTAGTCTCCCGAAGGCAGATGGTAGACTCTGCTTCAACCTCGTACCTCGGATATCCGTGTCTCAGCCGCACGTTCGCCCACGCGGTGAGCTGGAAGCAAGACAGGCTGTTACGAGCCAGATTGCGGGTACCATTGCGGAAATCGAGCGAGGATGAGAGAGCCATGTCGACGACCCTTTATACCGGAAGGACGAGCGCTGTGGGCGATGACGAACAACTTACCCTCTGCCATCCTAGTCTGCTACACTTGTTTGTCTCAAATGTTCGCCAGCAGTCAACCGTCAGTTTGTAGTAGGCAACGGAAAAGGATCCTACAGCCTACCGTCATCAATCCTGTTAACTTTACACGATAATTTACCTAAATCTATATATGGCGATTCACTATCACCCACCAAAAACGATTTGCGGCACACCAGAGGGAATTACCTTGCTTGCAAGGTCTCTTTTTCGACTCCCCGGTTCCTTCCGTGCATCTGAATCTTGCACGATAAGTCCCGAAATGTCTCAAGTTCGAATCTGTACGGTGGCAAATGTCGCAAGCAAGGTCTCTGCCGCGAGGCGGCGCTTCCCTCGTAGTAAGAGAAAATGGAATTGGAGCCATGGAATCATTTGTCAGTGTCATGGTCATGGTCCTTTACAGACCATATTCAATATCTACAGCCGCCGATCTCAGACATTGCTCGAGTAACTTTTCAGAGCACTGCACGGTACACCGCGCATGGTTAAGTGTGTCTCTGCCGACAGGCGATTGATTAAAATCTGTTAAAGGCATTGTTACACTCGCGCCTGTCCTCGTACCCTGAATCCGCTAACTTCCAATATACTGCGACCAAGCCGGACGGTCATCGTGGATACCTGGCGTTTCGCGGACACATATCCAGATTACGAGGGATAATATAGCGAGGAAGCAAGCAGGGACAATGAACGACATGATTAAGCGATAGCGAACCTTCACGATCGATAGCAACGGCTTGTGCAGCAGAAGGCGGAAGCGCTCAATTAGCGACCACCAGAACTGACACCATGAATCTAGGATAATAGGACAAAACGATGCGAATTAGATGAATTTGTGGGTACCTTGGAGCGTATCGATAATACCAATTGGTCGCATCGCGCAGTCCTGCAATTCATCGTTTAAAGAACGGACAGTCCGGGAATAAATCTTGACAGCATCAGAAACATGGTGTACAGAATCTTCAACGAGATATCAGTACGTCCACGCCAAGCAAAACAAACAGCTTGATTTACATGCACCTTGGACGCGATGGGTAAGAAAGCCAGTATGAAGATAGATAAAATGTGTAGTAACTGTACTTACAGGACGACAACATGTCTTTCTCACACACCTCTTCCTTCAGAGCGCATATTTCATCCTGAGCACGACGCAGCGCCTCGCGCAACTGGACAGTCTCAGAATCCTTTTCGTCTGATCAGCGATGTCAGGTTAATCACAGCGCACTGGCCATGTTGCTTACTCAACTTCGTCTCCAGTGAGGATACTCGACGCAGCGCTTCCTCCCTAAGAGCGACTTGGACATGGTAAGCTCGTTCAGAGTTCCCTAGTCTCGTCAGGAGAGACAGCTGTCTTCGTAAATCCCAGGTACTTGTCCGCCCCTTCGATAGGATGGATGTATTCTGCAACTGCAACTCCTTTTCAGAGGATGCAGTAGGTGCGATATCGGAGCTAACGACAGAGTTTGAGGGGTGTGGTCCATCGTGAGTACACGAACCTGCAAGGATGGACCGTGCTCGCAGCTCAACTCGTTAGCCTTTATTTGACGATCGTATACACAACGCGAATTTGGATGGTAACTTCGTGTATCCAGCGATAACTTATTCTGCAAGGCATCAAGATCCTGCAAAGCCTGACGATAATTGTTCCGTCAGAGCATCCATCGTCTGATCATTTCGACCTAACCTTGTCAAGTTTAACGTTCTTCTCCGAAAGGCGATCAATTTCGGCTTCGTATTCCTCTCGAATACGAGAACAATCGCTGCAGGAGGAATCCTGGTCCTTTTCGGTGACGTCCAGCGGAAAAAAAAGATGAAAGAGCGCGTACAGTCTGATGGTGATCACGAGCATACTGTTGTAAGCACTCCTCGACTTCGAATTGGTACTGTAACCATCCGCGCGTATTCTCACAGTGCTCGCCGCAGCAGAGGCACTTGCAATTGGTCGGAGGAACAGGTACTGCCATAATGTACAGCAGAGAGGAGGATAGCTGTTAACACAGAGAGGTGGGAGACCTAGTTGCCGTGCTCATTGACAACGCGTATGACGGTGGAACCTCAGAGCTATTTGAGGGTAAGTTGAAAGACAATGGAGTTACGTCCCTTTGTGCAGGGAGAGAAGGGAGAATCTTGCCACGTAGCCACTCAGATTGCCGCACAACCTGTTCCATGAAACAAAGGATGAGATGCGAAGGCATATATATAACGGCGTGGAGCATCAACATAGACTCATGGATGAATTCCACTATGAAGAGATCTGCGACTGCGATTTCAGCATCGTCACAAGGGTCGGCGCATCTTCGGGTGCCAACGTTAGCGAAGGATCGGTGCGTTCCTTATGGTCACCCACTACGGGTCTCTGACCACAGCTGCTATCGGTCGATCAGCAAGCGGCATGTCTTCAGGTTGGGGCAGACCCCGTCCACGCCACCTCCTGTGATATTCTCGGCTCTACATTACAAGGGGAATTAAAGGCTATCAAAGAGGTGAGCGCACAATACGAACGGGTTGGAGGTGACCTTCATACATACCTTGCAGGAGAACGATCGGATGCGAAGGCTGTTAGGAAAGCAAGACTTGGCTATCACGCGTTTGTTACATGCCGTTGAACAGGCAAGTCTTACTTGAAGCTTGAAACTTTGAAGCTTTCAAATTTGAAGGCTTACCTTGGAGTACTTTGATCAGGCCTTAAATTGCCCGGTCTGTAAGGAGGGGATGGACACTCCAGTGGCGTAAGTCGGCCGACTTAGCTGACTTGTTCGGCTAACTGTTTGCCCTAGTCTTGTAACCTGCGGCCATGCGCTTTGCCAGTCTTGCGCAGCTGAGGTGGCTGAGAGGCCAATGCGCCTTTGTCCGTTGTGTAGACAATGGGCGGTCTGGCCGCCTGTCACAATCTGGGCATTGAAGTCGATGGGCGAAGAGGCGGCCCGGATCGAGTCGCAGATGCGATCATGATATCGATACACTTTGTGTTCTTTGTCCTTACATCATACAAAGAGAACAAAGCAGAAGAGCGTCGACAGATAGTATTTGGTTTCTTTTGTGTTCGTTTCGATTCTACGTTGATGGCTTGGCTGCATGCCACCCTGGCAAGCCTTTGTCCGGACAACATGATTTTTTCATAGTACTACATACATGTCGAGAGCTCACCCGTATTTAAGTGCCATTGATGCACTAGCCTATTGTCTGGATCATAAATATCGGCACCACAGACAATACTGAGAGCGGATCATTATAGATGGGATACCCGAGCCTTCGGTCTTCTACAAGCAGACAAATCATTGTGTGCTGCTAATGACGCACGCTGTTGCAGGTTTGAAGCTCGAAGCTCGAAGCTTGAAACCTTTCAAGTTGAGAGAACAGGGGGACATGCGCACATGTAGTGTGACTGCTGGAGGCCCTCGCCAAGTGCCGTCTTTAGGAGGCCGATCTTCCCGTCCTCGAACATCAGCATGAACAGCGGGTACTCGACTTGAAGTGCGGAGATCGGGTGTACCGCGTATGCACGGCGCAGCTCGGAAAGACCGAGGTACTTCGATTTGCCGGCTCTGGCAGACATGTCATCGCGAGGGAAGTTGTAGATCGGTGGACCAATCTGCGTACTTTACGTCGAGCTCGGCCATGGTACCAACAGTGCGCTGGACACATGTTAGCTATACCTGTGGTGATAATGCGACGTGCAGAAACACACCTCGATCGGGACACTGGAGTCTGGACTATCAGTCAACATCGGTGCTCGTGGTGTAACTCACGCAGGCACACCGTTGGAGGCAGGGTCATCAATAAAGATGCTGGACATTGTCTGTTCATGGTAAGCTTGCTGCTACTCACAAGACCATCTACCACGCACACGTGCTGAACGCTGTTGCGAAGATCCTCGATGATTAATATATTTCGCGCCACTTCCACCGTGCAATAACCAAGTGCCATGGGCTTGAATAGGGAGCCTCCGTTGAGAGAGATCGGGTAATCAGCGCGGGCCCATACAAACGCGGGGAGAAATACGGGAGAAGCACGCACAATGGCTAGCATGTGTACAGCAGGGGGAAAGAACGTCACCGGGTGACGATGAACCCCACTCATCCGAGCTTAAGCACGAGCGAGGCTCCCTCCAACCCATCGACTCCTTGTTGAGAAAGAGAAAATTATTGGTCGAGCGGTATCATGTTTGCGGTCTGTCGACGGTACCGCGGCTCCTTCAGTACGTGTGTTCCTCGGGTCGTGATTTCCCAGTCGTGCTCCTTTGCACATGTCATTAGACTGCCCTTGCTCGGTGGGTATCATCTCTGCATGCGGTGTTGTGGGCAGCCAACGGTGCAAGACAAGTCGTGTTTGAAGTAGATAGATATCGACACCACTTGCCTGACTCAATCAGAATCCTTCTGCATCGGTCATTATGGCTCAACGTGATCGTTCAAGGGATGACGATCTACGGTCGTAACAACAACAAAGATCAGATTCAGGCTTTGTATCACAAACGAAGTGAACGGTCGGTAGTAGATGAAGAGATTTTCTACTAGTAAGTGTCGCAGAAAAAGATCACGTACAAACGCCATTTTCTCCTGCAACGTAATGACGGAGCTGGTCTGTCGATCTCGGCACTTCGCAAAGGAAATTCTCAAAGTGTGGATACTCAAAGACATTTTCGCGTTCGGGAATACGAGAAGGGCAGAACCGGGGCCTATACTTACACTAGAGTAGATTCCGATTCCGATTATTTGCGCAAGTTTATGTACGGGCGCCCAAATATTGCCACGCGTACGCTGTCCCTAGTGCCTGCCTATTCTTCGTCATTCCACCATGGCGTTAGTCTCTGCGGCGCGTGCGTAAGCTTGTCTTTCACAAAAGACAAGGGGGCGCATGTAATGCAGTCGACGCTCTCATTAACGTCCCATGTCGAATGCAGCAGCCTCACCTTTACTTCGTTAGTCCTCCGTCGTCAAGTCGTGTAAGACTACGTGTACGAGTGTCGGGCCTTCACGCTCGACCCAGATTACTTCCCTCTACCGAGGCTCAATTTTCTCCACGCTCACGACCAGCATCATGGTGCGTAGGCGATCGATCGCTCTCGCATACTTATTCAATTGCTAATCCGCGTCTCAGCTATGATGATTGACCCTGCTGTTGCATACCTGTCCAGAAGGATATGATGCTTTCGATCGTGGAACTGCGGCCGACGTCTGGTTCAGGGCGGCGAAAGGTAATGACTTCTCGGGAGTTATATGGATTGTCTGGTATGAACGGTGATCTCATTTCGCAGGTTCTCCGGCACTTGTCGAGCTTTTTCCATCACATGGTAGACAACTGCTATCGCTTCAGACTGATTCACACCCGCTGCACAAGAGTATGCAATGCCTTCTGTTTCACCGTACTTGAGCTGACGCAGTAAACTAGTTTCTGGTTATACGAATTTAGTTCTACAACACCGAGACGGGTCCCGACATCCAAGCGCTTGGATCGGCCTGAACGAGCCGTTCAACGTTCGTCGTTCGTTTCCTTCACTCCCGGATATCTGATGTAGCACTATTTTCTTGTTTGATTGTAGCTCTGCCTCTAGCCGTGTGACGACCCCTTCGGTCAGGCTGAGGTACAGGGCCTTCCACCTGCGCTGATGGCGGTTCCTTCGGACCCCAATACTCCGAACTTCAGCTATCGGAACCTATCCGATACGGAAGAGGGCCGACACGAGTAGCTACAACGTGCTCAATCCGTACGCCATAAACAACACTGCGGGGGCGCTGTCGAACGGGACGTTATACGTAAGTGAGGTGATTTGGACAGACCCGAGAGAAGAGCTGACTCGATCGATGGGTAGACAAACGCGGCGCATTCGAATGGTCTCACAGAGTACGATACTCGTAAGTTGGACACGAACACATTTAATTCCGATGAGTGCTCACTCGGTGCAGATAACATGTTTGGCGCCATTGTGTCCAACGCTATACGTATGTCGATCTACCGCAGTTGTTCTGCGTTTCGTCACCTTACGGAGTGCAGGTAAGAATCACTAGAGCGCATTGTGATTAGCAAGGCTCATCCGGCTGTCAGGTCTTTCACGTACGCAGCCGATGAGGCCATCCGTTATTGAAGCATGGCAGGAATTTTTACTCATGCGACACGGCGGCGGCGGCGACCACTCGTCTTTTTGAACGTATCCGAGTGATGTTCTATCTGTTTTTTTTCCCATCGTACGACCGCGGTCATCTGCGACATCCACGTTCTGCAGCTACCATCCCGGGAAGTGCGAAAGCCAACAATACATGACCACTGCCTGCTCCGGCGCAGCTGCGTGCTGACTTGTTGTCCTGCCAGATCTCTTGACCTGGAGAGGAATTGCACCTCTGCCAAGCTTGATGCTGAGCCCGGATCTGAGTACGAGACCGTCAAAGAATATCGCACGGAGCCCCCCCGCGAATACTTAATATTACCGCAGAGGTATGCTCGACGGAAGCTTCTACCGAGTATGCTACTGAGGAGGCAGGTGTCTACGCGGACGTCTTAGGTGTGGACGTACCCCCTTCGGGGATTCCAACGATACCGGAAGCGTAGCTGAAGGGCAGTAGGAGAGGAAGGGTTACTCCCGCTAGAGCCGGAGAGGTTGACGCCGGGCTCGGAGGATATCCCTATTCCACCGTCAACAGACAGCCCCTCTGTAGCTTCGAGGGAGTTGTTGGAAGCTCCGCCTGAAACCTGCACAGCTTCACCTGCCCCTACTCCTTCAACTGAAGTCCCAATATCGTCTTCTACTGAGTCCACTCCTTTGCCTTCTCCGATTCCTCCGTCGGAATCGTTACCTTATCTCTATCGACTGTGACAAGACCTACAGAGCCTTCTGTGACACCTACGCCCTCAAGTATGCTCACATCTGCAGTCGCGTCCACGATCGAGCAACTACCAATCTATCCAGCCTCGCAATTCCCGAGTCTCGCTGGGGAGCCCAATCAGACTTGTTGTGCAAGCCGTCGACGCTTAGAGCGTTGCCTTAAGTGCACTCGCTGGCTCTCTTTGGGTCTCGATACTTCGTGCAAGGTTGAGTCTTCTCATAGCCATAACGGAGATAAATACCGAGGTCGGTGTCTGTCATGTCTATACCGTCGTCGCCGTCGTTGAAATCCACACTGGCTAACGCATCGCCTTCTCCGAGCGTTCCATCCCCCACGCGGATCTCCGCTGAATCGGCAATGACCCTTTCACGTTCCCCCCTCCGTCTCGTCGATCGATATTTGGTACCCATTCACTCTTGGGGGTGCCGTCCATTGTGGAGCCCTCCATTATCGCGCCTTCGACGGAGCCATCTCTCCTTTCTACAGCTCGCTCACCACCATCGGTCCTAGTGAGACCGGTATGTTAATCACGCGTTTACTGTTCGCTCTCGACTGATCCTCTTCTCAGGTGTCGCCATGTGGATACCCCTGCCGCCTTCGCCTTCACCGGCACCTCCACCGAGAGGTGCCTTCCAGAGATTCTGTCTGAGGCCCCGAGCGCGATTTTGACTCACGACGTTAACCCTTTGTTGCAATAGTTGCATGATGCTGACGCAGTTGGAGGAGAGGAGAACAGAGAGTTAGCGGACAACGTCCAACAGCTCAGGGAAGACGTGGCAGACCTTGCTGACTACCTTCTTCAAGTTTGTCCTTCGGAGACGCCTGCCCCAGTTCCTCACAAGGATAGATCGGTAGGAGGGAGCAGCGTTATTTTCTTCCTCATTCGTCGGTCGAAGTCAGGATGGTTTCTCCTCCGCCTTCGGCAGTTAGCCCACATATAGTTGCATCTGTTCCGCGACCCGTCAGTTCCAGCAGAACCACGAGGTCTCACCCATGTCGGTGGGAGGGTAACTGAGGATTTCGTCCCCAGAGTCAACTGAGAGCGATGTTTTGTCCTTCCTATCGTCTCATCATTCCGATGATGTTAGTCTGCTCGAGTTGGAGACGTATGCGGTGCGCGTTCCCTCACCGTCCTGGCCGTCTGATTCCAGCCTCTCCCCAGAATCATCACCACATTCATCATCGGTTTCAGTGAGACCTCGGTCTTCATTAGCGTATTTGTCCGATGTTAGCGAGCCTACTAAAAGTGTTCCCTGCTCCTATGCCATTGGCTTCCTCTGCGACACCACCGCCCTCATCTCTATGCCGCCTCCATTGTCTCTATCTGAGTCATCGTCATCCAGCGGTACCGCTCGACCCGTACCTGCTCTCAACCTTAGTCGACTCCGGGCTGCCCGACATCAGCGAGTTGATACGAGTTACAATGTATAGCCACTACACAGTCACTGGAATGTCGAAGTATCAGTGTAGAGCATGCAGTTATGGAAGGTGTCCTCACTGATATTTGATGAATCTGGGAGACGTTCTTCTGTAGTTGGTGATATATCACTCGAAGGAGGTATATGACCTGATGCTGAGCTATCCCTGTAGCAGCATTGAGATCAACAAAGGAGACACTTATTCCAGATGACGGACCTTCCTATGTCATTATCATCGGCATCCAGCACCTCACCCAGATGAGCAGCATCGTGGTCTCCACGAGGTTCGATCCCCATTAAGCCATTCCAAACATTGCCAGGGATGGCGGCTTCATCAGGATCAGTGCTTGACTCAAAAAATGACTCAAATGATCGCGCGGCATCATTCATCCGTGCCCACATGCTGCTGTCTTCTGCATAAATCTGACTACAGGCAGCACAATAATACTGCATGAAAAGCCAGTATAGGGCGCAGTTCTCGAAGTCCAGCTGATGAAGCTCCGACTCAGGAAATATTGACCAACCGAGAATACTTGATGCCTGACCAAATTGTTGAGTTACAACTGAGTATTGCCAATTGACTGTGTAATGTGGGTCTTACCTCATTACAAGAGAAACACCAATTTTCCCCTATAACCCCATGAAACAGTTCAACACTGTCATTGTTGTGCGATGCTGGAGAATTTACAAGGATACCATCTGACAAATGGAAGATGGATTATAAGAAAACCTGAGTGTGTGCCACAATCTCACATCGAGTCGGAGCAAGTTTGACGAATACCAAATGTGCGTCCTCCCATTCTGCATCCTCGGTAACGATTTCGGCGGTAGTACGTGAATACCAGACGTCCGTAGTCATAAAAAGAACACAGCTAGAGTTGGGCTCAATTCTAAACATGCATGCACACAATATACAGAATGCGCACATATCATCCATGGTTCTTCCGTAGCAGCTGCTTGATGAAGGTGATTGAGAGATTATGGTCGTAGTGACAGCACAGAGGATACTGCATGTCAATGGAGAGCTCTGCTGATATAGCGACAGCCTCACAAAGCAAGTCAAGAGCGAGTGGCAGTGGCTTCCATTCTCTTGGCACAATGCAGCACATAGATGATCGAAGCATTCCTGGACCCCGGCTGCAAGTTGAATGCGCTACCACCATTTTCATGCATTGGTCTTGCGGCATTATATGCTCTCTCGCCAACCTCTCCTCGTTCCTTATCCAGGATCTTTAGCACGGTATTCATGGCTGGCGCTCTGCTTTAGCCAAGCCGAGGAATTAAGGCTACCCAATTCGGCAGCGGGTGACATACCAGCTTTCCGCGCACTAAACTTCGAGGAAATCTCTCGGAGCCCTAGACTACACATGTCACAAGATGCAACAGTTTGAAGAATGCGATAAAGCAGTGGACAGCGGCTACGGCGTGGCACAAGTTTGGAGTCACAAATATTAGTCGGAAAAAAATAATGTGCCGAACCTTGCCTGACAACTTCTTATTTGGGGCTTGTAACTGCCTTGTAGGGGACAAAAATTACTCAAAATGCCCTAATTTTTTCGTTTCTATTGCAAGGGGGGGTCAAAATCCGTCACAACTGTCTTATTAGGCAGGAAAGGTTTTTCCGAGGCGCTCCGCATTCTGATCTCCGCCGCTTGCGCTAAGCCAGATGAATTATAAAATAGAGCGTTTTAACTAGGTGCAACCATTCGGATCGCCAGCCAGCCAGCTCACAGACATGGCGAGCGGCCAAGAGCATCAGTTAGTCCTGCCATATTGACCTGTTCAACAGCAACTGACTTGAAGGACAGCATGAATGCGACGTCTGCTAAACAGGCCGTGCGCGCCCTGGATCTATTGCGTGAAATCAGGATCTCCACTCGAGCTCTTATTGAGAGTTTGAAGGCGGTTGGGGTTGTTCTCGATGACAAGATAGAACGATTGGAATTTGAAATAAGTCTCAGGAACACCCATTTGGAGGATTTGGCCGGATACGCAGGGCATATCGATGTTTCAGCGGAGGAGGGGGTTTCGGTGATTAGAGACATTCCGGCGGTGAGAGTGCCACCTGCTAGACGCTTCCGATTGTTCTGGGGCAAAAAGCATGGTTTGTCATTTTGTCCCACTCTTTATTGGTTGTTCACAGCGTCTGACATCTCCTTACTGCATCAGAATAACTTAGCTCAAGCTTCGTTTATCTCTGGCCATACCAAGAGCGTATCTCGTTCATGTCAATCTTTCCGGTGTTTGCCGTACTCTCCTGGTTTTTGTATTCTGCACTCACGCTCTCTGCACTTGCTTTTCTTATGATCTCCACATGCACTCGCATTCTTCCTTGGTAGCTCTCGTTACTCAGTTCCCTTGCTGTTGGCTTTCCCAATACTATTTTCGTTATTCTTGTCGATGCAATGCCTACGCACGTGCATACACTGAGGGTTGAGCATCATACCAACACTTAGAGCGGAACGTTCGGCCTCATTGGAGTGGTGCAGACTATACGTGACTCTAATGTCCTCCGGGAAGGCGTGCCCTAACCCAGTGTAGCCCCCTTCGGAGGAGACCCTCGTTGATGAAGGCCTCGAGGTACGGGTATCGCAGTAACTTGATGTTACTCCCGCAGGATGCTCGAGTATATTTGCTACGGTGTCGAGCTCTGCCAGCGGTTTCTTCTGCACCTCTTGCTCGTGAGCCATGTAGCATATAATGGCCGACAGCGAGCTGTTGGATCATCGATCACGACACTGTACGACCGATGACAATGAGGTAAGCACTTGGACGTTGTGTACGAGGAGCGTGATCGCTTCGGCAGTCTGTGTGAGCTCCTCCGGACCGATCGGATTCCTGTTCTCGTCCTGGCGGCTCAAGAGCCTGTCAAACATATCATCGAAACTCTTCTCGTCCGTGCCCTCCTGTCGCGCAGCAGGGAGCCGCTGCGAGACTACGTTCGCCCTCATGCCGGTCAGCCAGCGCGCGTAATGCCTTGGTGTCACGGCTAGACCTCGGCAGACACTGCGCGAACGTGCGCATATACCATGGGAGGATGCCGACGGTCGCCGCCTATGTAGGCCGATAATATCGATGGCGGAGGCCTCTTGGTTTCATATTCGGTGCGCCCCTTCGCCGCCGCGGTCTCGGAGAGTATGTACGAGGCGATCCCAGCTTTTGCAAACTTGGCGATACGCACGATATCCTCGCCGCGCATGAGCATGTCGAAGGCAGGTTGACCTAAGGCTTGTCGTATAAGACAATTCGACGTTCGCGGGCATGATGTAGGGGAAAGCACGCAGCGATGACACCGAGCGTAAAAAGATTGCACCTGTCGGGGACTGGGTCAGATGCAAGAAAGCTTGTAGTCAGATGTGTCCATGACTCACAGGATCGCACATCAAACCAGACATAGTGGCCACACATCTCCCAGACGCTGTACAAACGTGTACCCTCCGCAACACTCGCGGTTCCCATTGTCGACAATTGACAAATTACGCTGGAGCGCTAGCTGCACAGCGGGTACTTCATTCCACGTGTGTCGCTGCATGGAGGAAACGACTGAACTTGTTCTCTCTTTTCAGTTTAAAGAGGATAGCGCAGAAGAGATGACGAAACGACGACCTAGGTAGCGAGCAACAGAGGAGCATAGCGTTAACTATCGATCGCCTTATCGAAGCTTCGGGTGCAGCCTGATCGCGCATGGGTTTGGAAGGACAATGTTGTGGGCCGAAGCTATGAGTATAGCGTGGTTGCAGTTGAGAGGTACGCAGAATGATTGTCTAGGGTCGACCATGGTGCAGAGCTACTGAGAAACCGTCGGTGAAACGGATGAGATTAGCTGACTACGCAGGCGGACTGCAACGCGCACACGTGATATTCACGCGCCATACGTACGCGTCAACCCGCCTTGGCCGATCGATGGCCACTCGAGCGCTCTCTGTCTCTGGGAGCAGAGAGCACAAGACATCACCGAATAACGATATCTGGCCCTCTGCCCTCTTCTTAGGTCCATGAAACATCACTCGGAGAACCAGGAAAGTCTTGCACGAAAATCGAGGAGGTAGACGACGGCTGCAGTTTCTCGCAAGGGCACTGACAATCAAGCGCTGGATGACGTGTGAAGTGGCTCGCGCACCCACAGACATGAGGAGCACCAGAGGAAGATATGTGCTACCGTCTTTCCGCACGTGGATAACTATCACACCCCGCTGAATGTCAAGATATACGGCCAGTGCGCTCGACGCACTGAATCAGTGAGCTACACGCGGAATTCAACAGTGCCACGCACGCGAACCCTTGCTTCGGCGCCCGACAACACCTGCGACGTGTCGAAACGTGGTGTCCGGAGGTGGGAAGAGCAGCGAGCCGGCGAAGGGGAAGAGCCCGGCTCGCCGAAACTCGAAACATGAAGGCGAAACCTTAGACGAGGCTAAATCGAAACGGGCAGCCGAAGGCTAGCATGGATGTGCGGACTTCCCTTGGCAGCATCAGTGCATGCACCTGCGCAAAGTTGGGGACTCGGTGAGTGAGACGAGGGAACCAACGAGGGAGCCACAGGGACGACTGAGCATGCAAGCCTGCGAACAATACCGACGACTAAGTCAGAATGCCGCTCGTGGGGGTTAAGATATTGCGACGGCGCATCGCAGGAGGAACGGGACCTTAGCATCGGTCGGGTAGCACAAATGATAAGGTACTTGCCGTTCTCTGCGGATCTTGACATTCGCAACACCGACTTCATCTGGTGCAGGCGCACGTCCCTCGCCCGGCCCCCGCGCCATCCGTTGGCTTGCCCGTAGCAGCGCGAAGGGGCACCTCGTTCGCGAGACGTTCAAATATCAAGTACACTACTGCTAAGGATGCCTGCGCAGGCGGATGTCGAAGGTAAGGCCGTAAGTCAGAATACCAAGGAATGTCGGACGAGATACGCAGAAGGGGCACGAGGACTGGCATGCTGCAGAAGTCAAAATATAGTGTCAGAATGCTGGGTACGAGACAGAGAGGTACCAACCGTACGAGAGGGACACCAGATAGCAACAGAAGGCCAGCGAACTTGCGCTGGACACTAAAATACAGTGTTAGATTGTCGGTCGAGTAGCATATGCGATGAGGTAAGCGCCATTGCCTGTGGATCTACGATACTAACTTCACCCACTGCAGGCGCAGGTCATCCCTCTGCGCCCGGCCTGCCCCCCAAGCCGGTCCCTTGTTGAAGGATGTTGTCGCGCAGGAAGTCCAAATAGATAGTCGCAGGGTCTTCTTCGCGAACGTCTAGCTGAACACCTGCACGTGGATTCATGAATTATTCTCACGAGAGTTAACGAGAGCGCACAGTACCGTAAGAAGCAGGACTACAAGCACCTGAACCGCGCCGGTGCCAAATTCAAGCTACGCCCTGTGTGAGCACTTGCAAAAAATAGCCGTGACGACAATCCCTTAACTGTTGTAAACAAGGAAAAGGCATGGCCAAGCGCCATGCTTAGGTAGATCAAACAATCTTAATACCGCCTTCTTCTTCGTCCGATCTTCTAACAAAACTTTCCTCGCTCCAATCATAATTTTTGACCAATTTCTTTCGCAGCCTGAAGATAAGTTAGTACGCCACGGGGGGCCTGAAAGACTACTTACCAGCGTAGCTGGTCTTTGTCAAGAGCTGGAGTGTGAGGCTATCAAAACGTTAGTAATTGGGAATTCTAGAACACCAAGAAGACACGCACATCATGGATCACGATTGTCCGACGTTGCATAATGGCGGGAGGATCGAAACGGAACTTGGAGCCAGTAATGCCGGTAACTCTAAATCCTATCGACCGCATAGCCTGTGGAAATTTCTGAGCACATGGAACGTTATACTCCGAAATAGACATACTTCAATAAAACCATTCCAATTTACGTCGGTCCGGCAGGTGTGGTCTCTAGTCATAACCGCAGTCATCGTCTGCGCAGTGTTGAGTATGTTGATCATATTCAGCCTTTTCAACTCACCTCGAAAGTATTTTTGTTAACCTCAATGAGATATTTCATTGCGAGAGAAGACGCGAGGAGGATAGTTCAAGTAGTAATTGGTGGCAGATAGAGAACAGGATACGAGGTAACGGCTCCTCCGGTAGATGAGAGTGCGCAGAAATGGCTAAGGCCGGCGCTCAGCTGTGTATATTGGCAGCAACCAGGCTCCAGAGAACGAAGAGACGGCTAGCGTCAAGCTGAGAGGGATCAGCAGTGCAGCGTATGTGTGGCTGCGACAGGGCTCAATGGCTGAATCGACCAAGCATAAAAGTAGAGATGACATACTCCATAAACCGAACTGGAACCTTTTATTGCATTGCTCTGGTTATTACAGCAATCCGGGCTCACTCCCCGATGGCAGCTGTCCCTTCGTCTCTTAAAATAGTCCGCGGATGTGCGATCTATCGCAGTTTTGACAGACATTGTTGCGCAACCGCACCACATATATCAAACACTTACCATATCTGAGACGTTTTAGCACTGTAGGTATCGTCCGGTTCGGGGGTAGTATTCCTGAATCTGAAATTAATACCATGCCTCTTACGAGGGCTGCTAGAACATCTGATATACCTGATGTTTAAGTGAGAGTAGCTTTCATAAAAAAGAACCGTCGCGATTGACAAAATTTAATGACAATTAGCTCATCATTACCGTCGCATAATGATGGCCTCAAATCGAGAGGTGCGTCAACGGCGCGTTGGCTGCGGTTGCCTGCAGGGATATTTAAGAGAGGAGCGCGGCCACGCCATTAATGTGGACCTGCGGCAGACTTCATTAGTGAAGACAAATCGTCACGCTCAATAACGGTGCGTGGCGAGCGGATGAGCGTACTTCGATGGAAGGGTGGTGCTCCAGCTGGCTTTGGCATTGTATAGTGTCCAAAACCACATGATAGAGGGCGAAATTAGACATCCTCGGACCGTCATACGTACATGTTTTTTTTTTTTTTTGCGACCAACGTAGCGACGACAAGCTGAAGGCTACAGATTTGCCAGGATACTAGGATAGAGCCCCGGGCCGAAGGACATTCCGGGGCCTTGAGCATCGTGGAAGACAATGTCGCGGGAGTGCAATCCAAGCAATCGGGCGCTTGCATTGAAGGTCGAAGACGAGGGCATGTATACGATGTTGGGTGGCTCGAAATGGCATATTCAGCTTCTAGTCTAAGCAGGGGGCGATGGAGTTGACGCGAGCATGACGCGAGCAAACGCGCCAACATCATGGCCAAATGTGTCGCGTTCAAACTTCTGCATGAGAAGCGCCCGCTTCCCGAATCGCGAGTGAGTCGTGACGCGTGACTGGGCGTAATGCCTTCATGGGACCATATATCTTTCCTACATTTTTCTCAAATACGTTCTTAGCAAGGAACAAGATGTTAAAAATCATGTCAGCCTTCCTATCTAAAATAACAGTTTTGTGTAAGATGAGCATCATGTTGTAGCATCTGCAGTACAAATGTGTTACTTGGCTATTACTTGGCTAGTTCTAGCATCTTGGCCGATCTCAAAAATTTCCCGCCTGTGCAATTCTCCACCGTTTGCCTCAGAAAATTGCACAATGAAAGATCTAGTAAACTACTAGATACACAAAAACAGCAGTCCAGCCGCCCGCAGTGCCTCGTTAGACACATGTAATGGTAACTGACGGTACACACCGATATTTCTGGGCCTTTTTTAAATTGAGAAGCTAGCGGCGTACCTTTGTATCTAACAAAACAACTGTTGGTCCCGTTCACTGTAGGGAGGCTCCATTGTCGAGACACTGTAATAGCCGCACAGGTTGAAAAACCTGACTTGTTCGCGCGAGCTATGGTATAACTGCCAAGTAACACGCACCTTCACTAGGCCATCTACGGGATCGGGCTTGGACTACATGAACTACATGAGGCACAGGTTCAGTGGGTGATTGCGCATGAATCACAGTTGGCCCTGGAGAGCTACCCTGCACGATTCTCGGCGACCTGTACGGTGCGAATGATAGTGGGTGCTCGACGAGACGGAGGGCGGACAACGCGAAGGGGGAGAACTTGACGGGTCCCGCAGGGTCCCGCTCACTTGGTGAAGCTTTGAAGCACAATGAGGTTCACGTTCGCGTTTAGCGCGCGGTGGTCGAGGACGACGGGGATCTCGTTCCGGCGAGTTGGAGCGAGGTAAGGCTGTGAGCCAATCAGAGCTCAGGACTGGTCAAACTCGTCGGTGAGTCGGTGCGAGTTGGCCAACTCCACAGGCGAGGCGAGTCGAGTTACCGAGTCGAAATCCATGGTCAAGTGCCAGTGCAGTGCTCTGAGAAGTTATTCGAGCAACGTCTGAGTTCGGTGACTGCAGATAATTCTTGCTCGGGGAGCAAGCTCTCCCGATCCAAAAGTGAACGTTAACGGCCCGGCACTGAGTACTGAGTACTGAACGCGCCCTTTTTACACAGTTGTTGTTGTGCGCTATTTGTTTTGTGGTAATTCTGTCCGTCTCGTCTCCGAGCAGGTTCCGCCGCCCCCTGGAGGCCTTTCGAATTGAATACCGGTCTGTAATGTGTCGCGCACCGGAGAAGGCCCGGGCAACCATGACCAATGACACCGACGAATGATTTCATGGCTCCAATACTCTGCTTTTTCACTTTGGGGAATCCGCATCTCTTTAGTATGGTTCTTGTAGGCTCTTGCGCATTCACTTCTGTGCTCTTGAATACTATCATTGATGACCTGAAGATCAGCTTTCTGTTCATTAACGCTAAGTAAGCCACAACCATTTCCACGTATCTCAAACCTACTGAACATTGGGAAGCCGACGTTTAACGACATCTCGGCCTCGGGATCACCCACTGCCTTTCCCGATTATGACTGCGGCTGTGCTTGGGAGTGTCCAAATGGGTCCTCCTTGGTGCTGTGGCATTGAGCGATGAGCCACTCGTCATTGTTAGCTAACCTTTGTTCCGAGTGAACCTTTATTCTGAGTGAACCTTTGTTCCGAGAGACCCTTCATTGTATAGGACCCACTTCCTCAAAGTATATAAGACTGTGAGGAACGAGCGGGCTGTTTCTCGTACGTTGTTGTCCAACATGCGCAAGTAAGGAACATATTCACGCAGTAGGTCATGACCACTAATTTAATCCTCCTTCTAGACTATCAGACTATATCACTATGGGTTTTGAATGGGACCAAATCCAAGGCAAGCTATGCGCATCTTGAGGTACGTTTAGACTAACTAACTCCGACCAGGTCTTAGCCCGGGACTCCGACCGCTACTGGATGGCGTCTCCTCAGGCGATGTCTCCCCGCACATCATCCTGTTTCATATTATAAATTCCTTCACTGCCAACCTACGCCGCTCGTTTCAGGACTCTTCGGTTGAGCCACGCGTTCTTGCAGCTATAAATCGTGTGCACGATGATTTCAAGTGCAATATTCGGATGTCATTCCCCCGCTTTTTACCATATGCAAACGGCGAAGAATATCTATCTGCTGCCATCGTCCCGCCATCCCTATGCGAGCCTGAGGATGAATTTGAGATTGATCCTTGTCAAGCTGTTTTCCTCGAAGATTTCCGGAAAGAAATCAGCAAGTGCGTTGATGTCATCCAGGGCTTTGCGATTTACAATTTCATTGTGCTATTAGGTATACGACTCGGGAGCTAGCTGGGAGCGTGCCCAACGCCACAAAGGTAGCTCTGATTGAGAGTTTCCAGCAGGATTGGAAGAATTGTGCCCGTCTCTGCGTGGAGAAAACTGCAGAGACGCTTCGGTGCGAGCTCGATGCGCTGATACTTGTTTATTTTAGTACATTCCCGCTGTTACGGTTGGACGTAACGTATGTGTGGTCTTATCTTCTTGGCTAATACATCTTCTGACCCTTCCCTAGAAATATTGCGGCCGAAATAGTCGATGCCGCCTCTCAGAAGGCATTGGACCTCGTGCTGAAATTGTTCCAATTGGAGACTACGCCTAGAGTTGGCAGTAACATGGAACTGCGTGCCATCAAATATCGATTCGCACAAAGGTACGACTCCATGAGGAGGGGTATGGCGGACCTCCAGCCGTACAACACCGAGCTCAGTGTTATGGCTGAAATTCGGGCGTACTTCAGTATCTCCCACCAGGTAGTTGTCAATCCTGCTTGCTCGTAACGTGAATTCTCTCTAATCCGACTTAACCAGCGTTTTATTTCCAATGTACTCGCCGCGATTTCTTCAGAGCTAGTGGACGTAATATCGGGTAACCTCGAGGAATCGCTTCTCAGGGAACTGGGAATAAATTCGCACTATCTGGATGAAGGAGCTATGTGAGCTGAGCCGTGCTGCGTCTGTAACGTCTGTAACAGACCAGATCCTGTACAACGAGTAGTACTGAATTGACATACCTCGAGCAATACGTTATTGCAGAACAAACGGGCTCTCGGTAGGCTATGAGACCGAGCGGAAGCATAATGTAATCACGGCTAACACAACTTGGGGTTCATACTAAAATGTTTTTGTACTGGAGTTCCGAAAGCACAGGCCGAGGCAAACCCAAAAGGAAGTCAAAGGCCGCGAGGAAGGTAGCCACAATGGTCAGTCCGTCGCGTTCGCGGGAATTGCTAGGCTTGCTTGCTTTCTTATATCCTTCCGCCATTTTCAGATTCCGATTCCCCTAGAATCGGTCAAGAGTTCGTTCTGGTGAGCAGCTTAAGTATGCTGACATGCATTCCAGCGAACTCATGGAGCAAATTGCCACTTTTAGCTTGGAGGTAAGAGGCTCAAACTTGAAGCTTTGAAGCTCCAGGGAATTGTAGCCAAGGCATCGAACGCCGTTGATAGGTACGTCCGTGTGCTTTTCTTCTGATTATCTTCTCTAATGTGCTACTGGTAGAATATGATCATTGCGAACGACCACATTTGGAGTCTCCTATACCGGTCGCTCTGTGTGCATTCTCGGTGACATCATTCATTTGCTTAGTCACCCGGGCTCCCTGGGCGCTTGTCTACATTTGCACGCGGTCTTGGCATTCCACCACCACCCGCAAGACCGAAACGTATGGCGGAAAATGGGA